TCTGCCTTCTCTCACCTGATACATAAGGGCTGATAAATGCACAGGATAATTGTAATATTCTCCTTGGGGAAAATGGAAAACACAGCAAATACATGTCTATAGAATTCTGAAATCCTGTTGGGAACAACTTTTGAGGGCCCCCTACCTGTGTTTGAGGAGTGTTACCTGATTAATTCTGATTTTGAGATGCTTCTTTTACTCATTGGTCTCTGTAGCCCCTGGATCTGCCTTCTGAAAGTTTTGTCCTTTTTCATTTTCCTCTTTGGCTGAATCTAAAGTGGACATTGGGAAATATGCCTTCTTTCAGGACTGAGCAAATTTCTCATATATAACCAATTTGGACTAAGCTTTTCCTCAGGGTGCTAAAATACTCCACATTGTAGTATGCCCAGCTCCCACTACACATGTATAACCAACCAGTTAGGTCCCATACACATCCTCTTGCAATTAATTGGTTCATATGTCCCCTGCAGGAGACTTTGCTATGAGCACAGTGTAGTGATAAGTGCACTAGAACATTTCTTGGATATATGATCTTAAGCAGGTTACTTGACTTCTCTGTCTGAATTTTCCCATCTATGAAATTCTATTTTTAGATTAACAGGATTAAAGGACCAATAAACAAAACCTGTATGTACCATATCAATGTTGGCTAAGTTCTTTTACATTTTTCCCGCTTTTAATCCATACACAGTCTTAGAAGGTTATTAGTATTTGTTTTTATATGAGGAAACTGGAACTCAAATAGACTAGATGACTTGCCCATGTAAGAAATTACAGGCCGGGCGTAGTGGCTCACGCCTGTAATCCCAGCACTTTGGGAGGCCGAGGTGGGTGGAGCACGAGGTCAGGATATCGAGACCATCTTGGCTAACACAGTGAAACCCTGTCTCTACTAAAAATACAAAAAACTAACTGGGCCTGGTGGCAGGCGCCTGTAGTCCCAGCTACTTGGGAGGCGGAGGCAGGAGAATGGCCTGAACCCAGGAGGCGGAGCTTGCAGTGAGCCGAGATGGAGCCACTGCACTCCAGCTTGGGCGACAGAGCGAGACTCCGTCCCAAAAAAAAAAAAAAAAAAAAAAAAAAAACCAATTATATGGCTTACCCATATAATAAATGATATGATAAAGCTAATAAATGATAGAGTCAAGATTCCCAACTCGATATCTTGTGTACATTCTACTCGCTCACAGCTGCTCCTTGTTTTGAGGTAAATGTTGCTAAATTCTATAGAAAATACATAATGAATATTTGGCTTTTTATCATGAGTCAAAATATCACAGAGTGATCATAATCATTGACAAGAATTTTGCCACCTGATTTACACATTTCTGCATTACAAAAAACTGATAGACCCTGAAATAAGTCTATTGCTTTCTTAAATTGTTATAATAACAATGCAGGACGCAGCAATTCAGAGGATACAGAATTTTTTACGATGTGCTACTTCTATCATTCCAATCAAATGTAGTCAAGCAAACTTACTTTAAAAAGAATGAATATATACTATCTTCAGTGGAAATGTGGGCAAGACTAGCTCTGAGTTGTTAAATGTTTAGGAAAAATGACACAGAATCTGACTTAAAGCCAAAATAGAATGTTTGGAACAAATTAGGAAGAAAAATATTTTTCACTTGAGGTTCTTGTTACAACTGAGATTATCTCTTTTTCATTAAGCAAAACTAATTAAAAAAATCTTTTGGTTCAATATTTAATCTTCTATCTCAGATTTTACTGTTTTAATAGGAAATGCAATGAGAATTACCTGGTCTCTGACCTATGTCAGTGCGTAGGAAACATTTCTGCAGGGGAGATTCTCAAAGAAGGGGTAGAATATTTTGCACCTTGATTACTAATTTTCCAGGCAGCGAGTGTGTAGACAAATTATATTTTGCCTGTTGTGTATGTGTCTGGGATTTCACTAATGGACATTAGTATTTTTTTGCACTATTTTTAAAAAGTCAGTTACTTAAAGTAAATTGAAAACATTTGTTAAGGCCATGCATGACTAAGATGTTGGATTTTTAAAAACAATCTATCAGAATTTAAGAGCTTTTGCCTGTGAGATTCTATAGACAAAAACAATTTTATAAAATCAGAAAAAAAAATTTAAGCATTATGGAGGTTTGGGTACACACAGAAATTTGCTCACTAACATCAACTTTTGTTGTTGTTATTTTAGTTATTCATGTCTTGAAGATTTTTTCTTCCTGTTTCATTTTCCCAATTGTAGCAGAAACTGCCAGATGTGCATTTAAATACTTCCCTCCTCCTTCCACTGTAATAAAAGGCACATGACTAACCAACTATACAACATGTCCTTGCTTCTCCTGCTATTAGATATAGCCATGTGAGTAAGTGTACTCCAATGGAATGCAAATAGGATTTGTCCTTAAAAACCTCCCACACGTGCTCTTCTAAGATGATAGCCCACCTCCAAGATGGCTCTCAGTGATTCTTGGCTCATGGTATTTATGTCCTGTGTAATTCCCTCCTCCACTGAATATAGCAGACCTGTGTAATGAACAAGATAGTGCAGAAATAATGGAATGTGATTTCCAAGTCAAGGTCATAAAGGACATTTAGGCTTTTATCTTGGTCTCTTAGATTACTTTCCTGAGGGAAGTCAGCTGCTATGTCATGAGGACGTTCCAACAGCCCTCATAAAGAGGTCTGAGTGTCAAGAAACCAAATCCAGCTGCCTACAGCCAGGACTAAGGAAGCCACATTGGAAGCAGATACTTCAGCCCTAGTCAAGCCCTCTTATGACTGTACCACAAAACACACCTGATGGCAAACTCATGAATGACCTTGAGCCAGAACCATTCAGCTAAGCCACTTCCAAATTTCTGACCCAAAATTACAATGAGATAATAAATATTAATTGTTGTTTTAAGCTGCTAAGTTTGTTATGCAGCAGCTGATAATTAATACACCCAGCCAGCTGGATGGCAATACTCATGAAAGTCTTGGAAATCATGTCTTGAAGATTGCAGAGCTGCAGTCAGCTCAGGTGCATGAATGATTGTGTAAAGGAGGGCCCTTTCCTCTAGTTTCTCCACTCCCCACATCAACCTGGACTGTTGAGAGAGAAGTAAACTTTAGAGCCATTACATGTTTGGGGTCTAAAATTTATAACAATATAGCCAGCTCTAACAAATATACCAACTTTGTATTCTATTTCTTCCTTATATCAAGTCTTATTCATCTGTGAGGGTATTATTCCCCTGAACAAGGATTATTATTGGCATAGTTCTTCAAACACTATCAAAAATATTATATTGGCTACAAGGTATTATATTATATATTCAAAGCACTTCCCTCACCTGCAAATTCTATTTTATTTGCCTAGGACTCTATGTTTACTATCAGAGTTATGGTTGATACTATGGTGCCCTGCCCAGATCCTGTTCACTTGGTTAAAGCTTCTATCCCCGAGGTCCTGTGAGTGGTGGCTGGTCATACAGCTAGTCCTCTTCTCCAGAGAATTGCCATCAACTGATGGGAGCCAACTCACTAGGGAAGTTATGCTCCCTCCATAGATGACCCACAACAGTGGCCAACTGACATGATGGCATAGAAGTCCAGCCCTTGCCACCAGGGATGACAACTCTGCTGTGCTGTTTATATTTCAGATCCCTCCCTTCTGTGGATTGGGCCAGGACTAGACTTTACCTAAGACCAGATCCTTGCTTGGCAGCTCTTTTCCCTTCCCTATCATGCTCCTCTCCCTCACTTACAGGTTTTTCCCAAGGAGTCCCTCAATAAACCACATCCACCCAAATCTCTGTCTCAGATTCTACTTCCAGGGAATTTTATCTAAGGCTACCTACTTCCATAATACTGAACACAAGAGGTGAGATCCTCTTCTCAGGTACTTACATTACTTGTATGGTTTGGATCTGTGTCCCTACCCAAATCTCATGTCGAATTGTGATTTCTAATGTTGGAGGTGGGGTCTGGTGGGAGGTGATTGGATCATGGGAGTAGTTTCTCATGGTTTAATACCATCCCCCTTGGTGTTATCATAGCAAGAGTGAGATATTGCAAGATCTGCTTAGTTAAAAGTATGTAGCACCTCCCACCTCTCACTCTTCCTCCTGCTATGGCCATGTGAAGTGCTAGTTCCCCCTTTGCCTTCTGCCATGATTGTAAATTTCCTGAGGCCTCCCTGGAAGCCCCTATGCTTCCTGTACAGCCTGTGAAACCAAGAGCCAATTGAACTTCTTTTCTTTATAAGTTACCTAGTCTCAGGTATTTCATTTGTTGTTGTTGTTGTTTGAGATGGAGTCTTGTCACCCAGGCTGGAGCGCAATGGTACGATCTTGGCTCACTGCAACCTCTGCCTCCTGAGTTCAAGCAATTCTTCCACCTCAGCCTCCCGAGTAACTGGGATTACAGGCACCTGCCATCATGCACAGCTAGTTGTATTTTTGTAAAGAGGGGGTTTCATCATGTTGGCCAGGCTGGTCTTGCACTACTGACCTCAGTGATCTGCCCACCTCAGTCTCCTAAAATGCTGGGATTATAGGCGTGAGCCACTGCACCCAGCCCCTAGTCTCAGGTATTTCTTCATAGCAGTGCAAGAACGGACTAACACAATATTAATATATTTTATGCATGATAGGAAGAATATATATTCAGTCCAAAACTTTGAAAAAGACTTAAAAACAGAAAAACAATAAAAAATATTCAGAAATCCAAAAGTTGGCCGGGTGCGAGGGCTCATACTTGTAATCCTAGCACTTTGGGAGGCTGAAGTGGATGGATCACTTGAGATCAGGAGTTCGAGATCAGCCTGACCAACATGGTGAAACCCAATCTCTACTTAAAAAATACAAAAATTAGCGGGCTGCTGGGGGGCACCTGTAATCCCAGCTACTCAGAAAGCTGAGACAGGAGAGTCACTTGAACCTGGGAGGCAGAGGTTGCAGTGAGCTGAGATTACACCACTGCACTCCAACCTGGGTGGCTGACTGAGTGAGACTTTGTCTCCAAAAAAAAAAAAAAGCAAAAAAAACAAAAAGCAAGAAAGAAATCCAAAAGTTGACTATCTGAAGTTATCAACAAAATCGATAAATCCTAAAATGGATTAAGAATATAACATAAGGATACATTCGTTAGCTTACTTCTTTCTGCCCGTGGTCGCCACCAAGGAGGAACTGCTAAAGTCTCTCTTCCCACCGCCACCGTCATGTCTAAATCAGTCTCCTAAAGAGCCTGAGCAGGTCTTCACTGGAGTGTTGAGCTTGCATATGACTGATGAGAGGCTGAGGAGCCCTTCTGAGCAATGGGGAACGCTCACAGGCTGTGTGGTCATGAGAGATCCCAACACCAAGAGCTCCAGGGACTTTGGGTTTATCACCTATGCCACTGTGGAGGAGGTGGATGCAGCCATGAATACAAGGCCACACAAGGTGGATGGGAGAGCTGTGGAACCAAAGAGGGCTGTCTCAAGAGAAGGTTCTCAAAGACCAGGTGCCCACCTAACTGTGAAAAAGGTATTTGTTGCTGGCATTGAAGAAGACATTGAAGAACATCACCTGAGAGATTATTTTGAACAGTATGGAAAAATTGAAGTGATTGAAGTTGTGACTGATTGAGGCAGTGGCAAAAAAAAGGAGCTTTGCCTTTATAACCTTTGATGACCATGACTCCGTGGATAAAATTGTCATTCAGAAACACCATTGTGTGAATGGCCACAACTGTGAAGTTAGGAAAGCCCTGCCAAAACAAGAGGTGGATAGTGCTTCACCCAACCAAAGAGGTTGAAGTGGTTCTGGAAACTTTGGTGGTGGTTGTGGAGGTGGCTTCAGTGGAAATGACAACTTTGATTGTGGAGGAAACTTCAATGCTGTGGTCATGGTGGATATGGTGGCAGTGGGGATGGCTATAGTGGATTTGGTGATTGAAGCAATTTTGAAGATGGCGAAGCTACAATGATTTTGGCAATTACAACAAATAGTCTTCAAATTCTGGACCCATGAAGGGAAGAACTTTGGAAGCAGAAGCACTGGCCCCTATGGTGGTGGAGGCCAATACTTTGCCAAACCATAAAACCAAGGTGGCTATGTCAATTTCAGTAGCAGCAGTAGCTACGATGGTGGGAGAAGATTTTAGTTACTACCAGGAAACAAAGCTGAGCAGGAGAAGAAAGCCAGAGAAGGGACACAGAAGCTACAGATTACAACAGGTTTGTTAACTCAACCAAGCACATTGCTGGCAGGGCCTAGCTGCTACAAAAAAAAAAAAAGATGCGTTTTAGATAAATACTCGTGTATGGGCAAAAAACTTGAGGACTGTATTTGTGACTAATTGTATAACAAGTTATTTTAGTTTTTATTCTGTGGAAAGTGTACAGCATTCCAACAATGGGTTTTAATGTAAATTTTTTTTTTTTGTACCCATGCTGTTGATTGCTAAATGTAATAGTCTGATCATGACACAAAATAAATGTGTCTTTTAAAAAAAGAGTAGAACATAAATCACCAGTATCAGAAATAAAAGAGAGGTTATCACTATAATTCTACAGGCATGAAAAGGATAATAAGATACCATTATTAATATTTTATGCTAAAAATATGGCAACTTAAATAAAATGGATAAGTTCTTTGAAAAATGCAATTTACCAAAGTCAATACAGATTAAACAAAAATATGAATAGTCCTGTATCCATTTTTAAAATTAACATATTCCACAGTGTAAGTCTAGATTCAGATGGTTTCACTGATGAACATTCACTGAAGAAATAACACTAATCTTACACAAACTCTTGTAAAAAACAGAAGGAGGGAACACTTTCCTACTTGTTCATGAGGCCACCATAACTCTGATACTAAAACCTAACAAAGAAATTGCCAGAAAAAATTTGCCTACCAATATTTTCCATGAACATAGACATAAAAATCTTTGAAAACTTAATGCATTGATTGCAGCAATATATATCAGTAATAATATACAGTGACTAAGAAGGGCATATCACAAAAATGTAAGATTGGTTTAACACCCACAAATTTATCACTATAACTACCTTAACAGAATAATGAAGAAAAAAAATAAGATCATTTCCATAGTTGCAAAAATAGCATTTTTCAAAATATATCACCCAATTATAAAAACACTTTTAGCAAACTAGGAATTTCATAAAAGGCAGTTACGAAAACCCAGAGCTAACCTAACACTTAATGATCATACATTGAATGCTTTTCCCCTAAGATCAGTAACAAAGAGTGAAGGCCCACCCTTACAACTTGTACTCAGCAGTGTAACGAAGGTCCTAGCTATTGCAATAAGACAAAAAACAGGCAGCAGTGGGGAGAATAAAAATTTGAAGTAAAACTATCTCTGTATTCAGGTTTTTTAAAAAAAGTATATGCTTTCCTGTTTATTTTACCAAGGTTGTGCGTGAAATAAACCAAAATATTTCAAGAAACCTTGAGTTTAGATAGGCTTGCCTTCTGAGTTAGAGTTTTTAATTTCATAGGAATTCTGTTGTAAGTTATTCTAATTATGCTTATATAACTAAACCTAGGCAAAATTGTGAGGCAAGAGAAATTTATTTTAGTGCCTTCCTATCTTTGGGGGTTTTAAGTATATCTCTCATCCATTCTGATGCCTCCCTGTGTCTCCCAAACATCTATTGCCCAGAGGTAATATACCATTCCAGTCTATTTTTCTTCAATAATATCTCTTTCTTCAAAATCACTTCTGTTTTCTTACCTATTTTTATCACAAATATATATATTCTCCCACTGTTTCAGAGTTCTAGTCACAGTTGTCAGAGGAATACATCTCAAAAACTATTTCAAACAAAAACTAAGTTCACAGTTAATGTGTTGTCCCTCCCAAGGATATTTGCATTGGAAGAGCATATTTATAAATAATAATAGCAAAATGAAGATAACAGCAAGAGTATAGCATGGGGATATAAACATTTAATATAGTAATTTCATATAATATGGATGACTAGGCACCTAGTTTGTCCTTTTTTAAGAAAAAAACAAGAAATTCTAGATTATGTGTTCAAGAAATCTTAAAAGGATCAATGAACTACAGATGCTTCTTATAATGGGGTTATTCCCTAATACACCCATTGAAAGTTGAAAATATGGTAAGTCAAAAATGCACTTAATACACCTAACCTACCAAACATCATGGCTTAGCCTAGCCTACCTTAAACAGCTAGGTGGGTGCTAAAACACCTACATTAGCCTACAGCTGGGCAAAATCACCTAAGACAAAGCCTATTTTATAATAAAGTGTTGAATATTTTACGTAATTTATTAACTCGTGTACCGACTATGAAAAACAGAATGGTTGTATGGGTATTCAAATGGTTTCTACTGAATGCACCTCACCTTTGCACCACTATGAAGTCAAAAATTATAAGCAAACCATTGTAAATTGGGGACTGTCTGTACAAGAAAGTAAGGAAGCCTCAGACCAGGGACTAAAAGAGGAAGGGAACTTGGAGAAGTGTAGCATTTTAGCCAGTTTTCTTTCTGAGTCTCTTTGCTAACTTGTGTAAATTTGAGCCTTGGTTATCCTGAATCTTCAGAGCCCACAGAGCAGGAAACAAAGACAAGGTAGCTCATCCCCTACTTCAAAAGAACTGAGATGTCTAAGTTCTAAATAGTCAGTGTAAGCATGAGCTGGAAATAAGCCCATCCCTTTCCTGTCCCTGAGGTCTAAAAAGAAAATATCCTTGACCTTTAGCAAAGAGTACAGGAGGTAAAAATAGTTGCTGAAAATTTGGAATCACAAGATGGTCCTCACACAGATTTGTAGCACAAATTCACAGAAACTGTGTGTTACCAAAAACCGCAAGTTAAGAATTTAAATTAGAGCATCCCAGACTTGTATTGCCTTCATATGGCTGGTCAGAAACAAATGCAAATTAATCTATAGTATCCCACCATCATTTCAGTTTTCAAAGACTTCAAAGAAATGAAACTCTAAGTAAAATGAACAACTCACAAGAAAAAAACAACAAAATATACAAGTGAACAAAAGCACCATGAGTGATAAACAGCAGAAGCAAGAGCTACAAGGAATATGTCCACATGTATTTCGCATACCAGCTATAAAATTAAAATGTTTACTATGCTTAAAGAAATAAGGGATAAGCTTCAAAGTATATACTGGTAATAAAATATTACCAAAAACATACCCAGCAATGGGTATGAGATAATATATCAAATTAGGTTTATCCTAATAATTCGGGATTGGTTTATATTAAAAAATTAGTAATGTCATTCACCACGTTAACATGTTAAAGGAGAAAATTTAAATGATCATCTCAATCAATAAATGCAGAAAAGGTGTTTGATAAAATGTAACATTCATGTATAATAAAAACATATAGTTAACTAGGAATAGAAGGAGCTTCCTCAGTCTAATTTAAAAATAAATAAAACTAAGGAAAATATTATATCTTGTGGTTACTTATTCAAATAATTTTATCTAAGATTAGCAACAAAATTGGAATTTTGAAAACAGGAATTCCCATTTCTATTTAACATTACACTGTATGTACTAGTCACTGAAGAAAAGCAAGAAAACATATAAAAAGAATAAGGATTGAAAGAGGGATAATACCCTCATTGCTTTCAAATATACTGTTAATATGTAAAAAAATTCAAAATGAACTACCAATAAATTTTTTAAATGAATGTAAATTTAATAAAAGTTGCCAAATACCAACTGAATATAAAACTGTATTTCATTTCTGTATAGCAGCTAGAGTTAGCAAATAACACATACACTCTCTCTCTTTCTCTTTCTCTTTCTCTCTCTCTCCCTCTCTCTCTATCTATTCATTCCATCCTTATGTATTTTGAATGGAAAATACCTATGAATTAATCTAACAAAATATACAAAACTTTTAAGAAACAATAGAACTAGAAGATTCTATATTATAAAGACATCTGTTGTCCCCAATTTGATGTACAGAATCAGTGCAATCTCAATCAAATCTCTGATAGATTTTGTTTAAAAAGTCAAACATTACCATCATATTCTAAAATGTATATGGAATAACAAAGGACCAAAAATAGCCAAAACACTCTTGAAGAGGACAAATGAGTTTGGGGGGCTTGCCCTACCAGCTTTCAAGACACTAATAAAGCTGTGGTTCTTAAGGTAGTATAGTATTAGTGCTGGATAGACAAATAGATCTATGAAACAGAATTAAAGCCCAGAAATAGACACTGACATATATAGATACTAGATATGTGGCAGAAGTGGTATTGCAGATGACAGGAAAATGACGAATTTTTCAATAAATGGTACTGGATAAAGATATCTGTATGGGAAAAAATTATATTGAGTCTCTACCTCACACTATAAACAAAATAAAATTTTGGGAGAATAAAGACCTAAAAGTAAGAGGCAAAACCAAAACATTTAAAAGATAATATAGGAAAATATCCTCATGGCAACAGAGTACAGAAGGATTTCTTGAACAAAATACAAAAAGACAGGCGAAAGATTGAAAATTTAAACTAAATTAAAATTAAGAATTTTAGATAATTTTCAGATCATCAAAAGACAACATAAAAAGTGCAAAGACAAGTTACAAATTAATAGAAAATATTTGTAGCGTATGTTACTAATATCTAACATCTATAGTATATAAGAGCTACTAAAAATCAGTGGGAAAATGACAAAATAGTAGATAATTGCACAAGACACTTGACCAGACATTTCACAAAA